GGTCGCTGGAGCAGAGCCCGCCCCGCCCCGGCCCTGCCCCGCTCACCTGCCGGCGCCCTCAGGGCAGCTGGGCCCAGGGCTCCGCACTGCGGCGCTGTGAGGGGGCAGCGCGGGAGCTGACCCAGCGCCTGGCTGGGGGGCAAGGGAGAAAACCCGTCCCGGAGCAGAGAGTCACTGATCACCTCCCAGGGACAGGAGTCTCTTTCCTTACACTCTCTGTCCTCACTTGCTGAAGCCAGTTCCTCATCCAGAGCTGTAATAAATAGTTAGCAGTTTTGCTAATTAGACAAAGCAAACCAAACAGATTTCAGTTTCTTTATTGATTAGTTTTTACATTATTATTTTATTTTTATTTTCAGTTGAATCTACAGGTACCTTTTTGAAACGGACAGGGGTGTCCTGCAAATGAAATAATCACAGTCCTTGGTTAAGCAACACTATAAAAAAAAACAAAACAAAACCAAACCAACAACAAACCAAAAAGTCCTTTTCAAAACCATGAGGGAACAGTAGTATTAACTGGGGAACAGTTAATGGAGAGACATAACCACAGCCAAAGCAGGGGACTGCTGTTGAGGAAGGAGTAAGGAAAGCAAGAGACAACCACAGAGATGTACATCTATTAGCAATTAGCACTTGCAGGAATCCTCTCTCAGGCCCAGCAGTCCATTTTAAAACAGACATTCACAATGCATTTTATCAGCCACAGCCTCAAGCTGTGATAATTCAGTACTAGCCAGACTCAGAAAGGCTAGATGACATCCAGTGACATTCTGGAAGAGGTTAGTTGGTTAGCTGCATCTTTATCAACTCCCTTTACTGAGCATCAACACCAGGACAGAAAAAACAAACACACCAATACCACAACAAACAGAAAAACCCCACCTCCTGTTTCAGACCCTATCTGTACCTACCCTGCTATGGTTTCGTTTTACATCTCAGTCTTAACCCCACCACCCAGCACGCTCAGTTCTGTAGAGCATCCTTTTCAGAAGCTGCCACGCTCAGGTGGCCCAACCTCATTCACAGGTTACAGCCAAGTAGAGCTTCATACTTTGAAAAACACAGCTAGGCTTTAAAAGTACTCAGAATAAGCAGATAGCAAATTTTTCCTCCTAGCCTTTAAAAATACAGAGTAATTCTGAGGTTAAACTGAACCACCCAAGTCAGAAAGCAGGATAAAAAGTAACTTTGGAGTTATCTATCCATTTTGGAAAGTCTTCATTTATTGCAGTGATTATTTAAGAAGCATACACTATGGTATTAAAAAAAAAAAAGCCATAACATGCAGACAGGAGATCTTTTCAGGAGATTGAGCAGAAGCAAATGTAGATTTACAATTAGCTTTAATATAATACTAGTTAAAAGCTGATAGCAGATCTTAAGTTCACTTTTGATGCTTTGAAAGAACATGTATGCACATGAATTGTTCAGGAATTTAAGGCAATTTGCATATTAAGATAAAAAAACCCCACTGGATTAACAGATTTTTTTATGTTGTGCTCAAAATGTTAGCTGAATTGAAACCATTTACATATATTTCATCTCAAAGGACTGAGAGTCATAAATAGCAGCTGCTCCTCGATAAAAATACAGTCCTGAGAACAAGCTAGTAGCAATGCTTAAGCTATGACATCTTCCATGTCAGAGTATAAGCTATTTTTGCAATAAGGAGCAGTATTTACCAGGTGTTCAACAGGCAAAGGCATTCTAAACATGCAACAGCTCCCAACAGAAGTCTGAAATTACTTCCAGTATCTTGCTTACAATAGTTTATTTGCACACTGCAGAAAGATCAAGAAATCCTGCTACGCATTTGTGATCACTAATATTTCAAACACAACAACCAAGGGATACAACATAAGGACAGGCAGCAAAAGGTGTTTTACAAAAAAAAACCCCAAAACACCCAAATAAAACAAACCCCAAAACAAGAGTCTTTTAGTAATTGGTTAGATTGTTTGCAAGGTAATTGGAACACTTTTCCCTCCCCAACCCCTGGGAATTATTCCCGCCCCTTATATCTATGCTATGAGCAAACAACACTGGAGTGTTTAAATTCAGTGCAAGAAGAGTAATTTCAGGACATTTAACTTCACTCTAAACAAAGGCAAAAGTTTATCTATATAGACATCCAAACGCCAACATATTTGGTACAGTGTAATGAAGTTACATAGATTTCACCCTCAGAGGTATGCTCTTGTAGTGATCACCTGCATTCCACAAAAAAAAGTGTTTGAAACGGTATAATATGGTAGACTCAACGCATTAAAAAATTTATTCAGCTGGAATTGGAACTCCCTAACATTCACAATATAATTTAGGATGCATTTGTTACATGAAGAGCAGATAAAAAGACTTAAACAGTTTCACATACCAGTTAAGATATTCCACATGCTCCTTCCCCACCTACAATACTGACATCTTGGTTGGTTACTTGCTTCTTTTTTTTTTTTTTCTTTTCTTTACAAATACTCAGTTCAACTTGTCTACGTGACTACCTCCTCCATTCCTACAGGAGTAGACATACAGTGATAACAGTGAGAGGATATGGGACACTGTCCTATCCAGTGTTTGGACCCTGGAAAGGAGTAGGCCTAGCTATAAAAACAGAGTTCGATGATGAGCTGAACATGAAGCACTTCAATAACTGAGGCAAAGCTGCACTCAGAAAAAGCTGTACAGTCACAGAGAAACAAAAGCATCAGTGGCCAAACAGAGGGGAAAGGGGGAAGTAGCCTAACCCCGCCCCCAGCAATCCATTTGCTTTACAAACAAGAGTTCAAGAACTAACAAAATCCATTATTTGCAAGGTCCGCAGGATTAAACGTCACATTAAGATGACCCACTCCAAATCCTAGATCGTTTGTCAACATTTAACAGGGCTTTAGCCATGCACAGTATGTATATTCTATAGACTAACTCCTTCCTTCCACCCCTTCTTCCTCTTTCCCCTCCCCCCAAAAGAATGAAGTTGATTAGAGAGTTTCACTACTTGTTTCCCCCATACATCCCCTCCACTTTTCTTTTCAGGGCAGAGGGGTTGTCAAATACATTGACAACTTTTCTTTACACGATTATCAAATTTTAAGGGATATAAAGACATTGGTGCATTTAGGAATTTACATATTTGTAAAAAAAACTAGTTATAAAACTGCATTTTATCACCTAGCACTTTCAAGATTGTTATTTTTCACTAATTAATATATTAAATTAAGCCAAGGTTTGAGACCAGAAAAGTCCTACCAATCTACTTAAAAACAGAAAAGAATATTTAAAACAAAAAAAATGAAAAGGTTAGTTATGTTACATTCCAAAATCCACATCCCATTATATTAAATGCATTCTTTCTACAGGAATGATGTTCTTTAAAACAGATGATTGCAAATATTTTACTGCTAGACACTCCATTACATTGGATAGTGTGACTGGAACCTGTGGATGGTGAAATCTTGAGGTTTGTCCAAGTTTCAATGTAAGGTGTCCAAGGTCCTCTCCCAGAACCATGTTTCCAAAAAAAAAAAAAAAAAAAAAAGAAAAAAAATCACAGATCAAGTTCTTACGACTTTTTTCAATCTTTCCTTGGCTTTCTGTTTCTGGGTGATCTATTCACAGTCTCCTCCTCCTGCAAGAAAGTAATTTGTGTAAACATCAAGGAAATAAAATCTAAGAATACCCTTAAAAACTGTTTTGAGAAAAAGTACAAAGAATAATTTACTTTCAGTTCTACGTTAGGATTTAACTTCTGAAAGGAGCTACTGTTGTTATCACCCTTCCTTTCTACACAAACACACAAATCCTCTTGTTTTCACAGTGGATGCACACTATTTGCTGAGAGTACTCAATAGCTGCTGCTGCTGTGAGAATCCCTTTAACTTCAAGCAACACCCCACCCATTTTTAAGTCAGCCATTATGTCAGTGTGGAGCACTTAAGAGGTCATATCCTGACTGCGTACAAAGCTGAATAAGCCTCAGGAAAGATGCATTCCCACACAATCCCACTCCTCCCACGATGCTGAGGCTCCTGCAGAGCCTTTAGCAAGGTGCCCAGCTCTGCTGAAGTTGGCCACAGCGATTACTATTCTGCAGGGTGATTAAGTTTTCCAGAGTTCTGACACTGGGAGGGAGTACCAGATGAGCCACGTTAACTTGTAACACTTCAGCAAGGCTTGTCCTACATTACTTAAGGAAAAAAAGTGTGCAAGACTTCTCTCAAAAATTAAGCACTCTTACCTCTGATGCAGGTTTCCTGTCTTCTTCCTCCTCCTCTTCCTCCTCCTCTTGACTAGCACTTCCTATATCAGCATCACTTTTCTGCTTCTCTTCTAAGGGAGGGGAGAAAAAAAGAAAAAAAAAAAATTCATTCTCATTTCTGACTTATCTTCAGTTCACCACTGGCTCCACTCCATGTCTTCCAATCCTTTTTTATTCTATCAGAGAGAAAACTCAAACTGTTTCAAGATTATCTAGTTCACCTACCTAGCTTTTCCTCATTTGCTTCCTCTTCTTCCTCCTCCTCTTCCTTGTCCCCTTTATCTTTTTCTTCTTCTTTCTCCTCATCCATCACATCAGGCTGAGGAGCATCAGTCTTTTTGTATTCTGCAGCACTTGGCTGTTTCTAAGAAAAAAAAAATGTCAAAACCAGGCAATTATTTGTGACCTTAAGGCACATTTTGCTGAATCTCTTTTTAAACATTATACTATTTATTATCAGAGGAAACGTGTACCTTCCCAGAACAGCAGAAAAGGACAACAAGGAACACTGGCAAAGCCACAGTGAGGATGTAGA